TACATGGAACTCCCCTGCTCCCACTTACCCTAACCCACCCCCTCTACACACACACACACACACACACACCCCACAACACACAGATATGTTGTTTCCTTTCTCAGAATGACCACAGGAGTTGGTTTATGCCTCTCTTGTCTCAGAGCTCACACTGTTCCTAGAGTGTAAGTGTTTGAGACTAATGTCTCTGTTGTAAATGATAAACGTCTGGTGAAGAAGGACCTTGTTAGTCTATTTCACCCCATGCCATGTCTCAAAGATGCCTTGCATCTAGCCGGTGCTGGACAAACGCATTCAGTAAGGGCAGGGATTATTAGAGGAAGGAACAAATGAAGGTCAGTTTCCTACTACAGGAAGAAGAGTCATGGGTCCCCATTGTTGGCAGCATCCCCAGGACAAAAGTTCCACGTGCTGGCTTCCGGCTTTCTTCCCTGGAACAGTGGGGAGCATCTCAGTTTGCCCGCCCAGCCCCAAGTCTGCTCCATACCCTGGAGTGATGGGAAATGAGACATCCCTTGTGGTGGCACTGGCCCCTCTGGGGGCTGTCTGTCTGTCTCATCCATGATCATGGCAGGAGGGAGAGATCTACCTTGTTGGGGAAGCACAGTGATGCCTGCCACAGCATCAGCGGTCCTCAGTCCAACCTCTTTGGCTACCAGCTTCAGTACTGGAAAGTCAGGACAAACCCACAGACTTCCTGACCTCGGCGAGCTCATCCTCCCAATTCATCTCCTTGGGAAGCCTTTCCAGATGCCCTCGCCCAACCCACCTACCCCCTTTGTCAAGAGACTAGTTCTTGGTCAGTATATGGTTTTTTTTTTCTTTTTTTTTTTTTTTTTAAAGATTTTATTTATTCATTTGACAGAGAGAGAGACAGCAAGAGAGGGAACACAAGCAGGGGGAGTGGGAGAGGGAGAAGCAGGCTTCCCGCCGAGCAGGGAGCCCGATGTGGGACTCAATCCCAGAACCCTGAGATCATGACCTGAGCCGAAGGCAGATGCTTAACGACTGAGCCACCCAGGCACCCCTAGTTCTTGGTCAGTATATGGTTTTCTCTACATTAGACTGCATGGTGAAAAACAGAATGCTTCCTCCTAAGATCAGGAGCAAGGCAAGGATGTCTACTCCCAACATTTCTACTATCATACTGGAGACTCTAGCCAGCGCAATCAGGTAAGAGAGGGAAATAAAAGATATTCAGATTGGAAAGCAACAAGTAAAACTGTATTTGCAGAATGACATAATCTTGTATGATGAAAATCCTAAGGAATCCACAAAACAACCACTAGAGCTAATTAAAGGGTCAGACAATGTCACAAGATACAAGACCAAAGTAAAAAAAATCGACTGCATTTCTAGATATGAGCAATGAAAAACCTGAAAATGAAGTTAAAATAATTCCATTCACAATAGCTAAAAAATAATTATGCAATTCTTATCATCAAAATCTCGGCAAAATATTTTGTAGACACAGACAAGCTTATTCTAACATTTGTATGGAAAGGCAAAGGAACTAGATGAGCTAAAACAATCTTGACAAAGAAAAATCATATGGGAGTTACCACCCTACCTGATATGGAGGCTTACTACAGACCTACTTGTAATTAAGAAAGTGTGGTATTCCAGAGGGAGAGACACAGAGATCAAAGGAACAAAATAAACCAAAAATAGACCCACACAGTATGTTCTGTGGTTGGTTTTTGTTTTTTTCTGACAAAGATGCAAAAGTGATCCAATGGAAGAATGATAGCCTCTTCAACAAATGGCATGTAACAGAACTTCCTTAGGCAAAAAAATCCTTGCCCTAAATCTCACACCGTACACCAAAATAAACTCAAAATGGATCACAGACTTAAATGTAAAATGTAAAAACCATAAAGCTATTTTAGAAAGGAAGGATGGCAGAAAATCTTTGAGAACTCGGGCTGGGCAAAGAGTGGAGTTCTTGGGCATGAAATAATTTATGGGGAAAAGAAAGGTAAGTTGAACTTCATCACAATTTAAAACTTTTGCTGACAAAAAACCCCCATTAGGAAGAAGAAAGACAAGCTACAGACTGGGAAAAAAATATTTGAAAACTATGTATCAGACTTGGTATCCAGAATCTATACAAAGAATTCTCAAAACTCAAAAACACAAATGCAGCAAAAACACCAATGCAAGCCTGCTTGTAATCAAATTAGAAAGACCGAGGACATGAACAGGTATTTCACCAAAGAAGAGATATGATTAGCAAACGGACACATTGAAAGATATTTAACATCATTAGCCACTGGGGAAGTGCAAATAAGAACTACAAGGTGAGGGCGCCTGGGTAGCTCAGTCGTTAAGCATCTGCCTTTGGCTCACGGCATGCTTGTGTTCCCTCCCTCGCTGTCTCTCTGTCAAATAAATAAATAAAATCTTTTTTTTTTTTTTAAAGAACTACAAGGTGATAGCATTCCACACCTACAATAGTAGTTAAAATAAGAAACAGTGGTTAAGAGTGTTTCTGGAAGAGATTAGTATTTGAATCAGTTGACTGAGTAAAGAGTATCGCCCTCCCCAATGTCAGTGACATCATCCAATTCATTGAGAGCCTAAATAGAACAACAGGTGGAGGAATGGCAAATGTGCTCTCCTTGCTAGACCTAGGACATCTGTCTTCTCTTGCCCTCAGACACAAGGGCTGGTAGATCTTAGGCCTTTAGACTCAGACTGAATTATATCACTGTTGTCCTGCTTCTCTGGCTTGCAGAAGGCAGACTGTGGGACTTCCCGGCCTCCAGAACCCCAAAAACCGATTCCTATGCTAAATGTCTCCATACATGTCTATAAATATCCCACTGGTTCTGTTTCTCCAGAGAACTCTAATCTACCCGACGACAAGGGATAGCTCATGAGTTCCTCTGTGGCAATGGGAGAGTTCTGTGTCTTGATTGTGGAGGGGTTACATGAAACTATACATGGAAACGCATTGTACAGAACCACCCACACGAATGTATATGTAAAAACTAGTGGAAACTGGACAGTCTGTAGTCTGTCAGCATTGAACTAAGTTCAGGTTCCTGGTTTTGATACTGTACTATCACCATCTAAGATGCCACCACTGGATGAAGGGCTTGCAGGACCCTGTACTATTTTTTTGCAACCTCTCAAGTTTATAATTATTTCCAGCTAAAAAGATTAAAAAGTCAAAATGGAATTAGGGATTTTGTGCATATTTTAGCTTTCCTCCCCAGTCACACAAGGGGGTTGCCCACCTTCCATGCATTTAATCTCCATATTTGTCCTCAGACTGGAGCCAGCAGGAACTGAGAGTGCTAGGAGCTCGTGCAGAAACGCTGGTTGACTAGGGAAGGGGCAGAGTCACACAGAGGTGACACTATAAACCCAAACACTTCTGCCAGCCACAGGTCTTCTCTCTCACCTTCTGCCTCTCTCCCGACAGGCTCTGAGTAAGCAGAAGCCTTTCTCCCATGGGGGCTGTGCCGATCTGATGGTACCTTCTCCTGGTTCCTACTGGCAGCGGGCAGGGGAGGGGGAGGGAGAGGACAAAGGCCCCGGGTGGGTGAGGTTTGCCTGGTGCTGGACCTTCAGGAAGCCCAGGCTTTACTGCTGAGGTGCTGGCCTCAGAGAGGGACACCCACAGGCTGTGGCTGGGGGACCTCCGGCCTGATCCAGGTATGCAATGACACCACCAGCCCGGCCTCCTGTTATGTCTCCTGAGTTGCTCAGAGACAATGCAAAGCAAACAAACAAAAGTCAAATTAAAAGGAAAGGAAAATCCAGGTCACACAGAACAGAGAGAGAGAGATATCAGTTTGCAGTCAGCCCTGTTCTCACGGGTCTGCACACCCCTTCAGAGAGCATTCCCTCACTCATCAAGCCCTGGGCCCGGGGCCCACGGGTCCCAGAGGACAGGCAAAGCCTGAGCTCTAAGTTTCATGTGGAGCAGTTCTGGAGAAATGGCCCCTGGGGCCTCCTTTTCCTTTTCCAGGGCAATGGGATCTCAGCTGTCTGGCCAAGACCTTTGCCTACCCACCCGCAGACTAGGAAGTCTCCAGGAGCCAGGTCCATTTGGCAATGCCCATTTTCACTGGCAGCCTGCAAAATCATGAGGCGTGGGGCCCTGCTCTGAAAACTAGTCGAGCAGAGGAAGGAGGAGCCTCCGTGTAGCTCCCTTTCCCCATGAATGACACCCCCTGGACATTGCCTGCTTGCTCCCTCTCAGCGCCCCACCACCCGGCTGCTCAGGCCGGGGACCCAATGGTTCTTCCCCCCGCCTCCTCCATGGAACCCACCAGCTGGTCCTCAGGAAATAGGTCTGAAATCTGATCCTTCACCCCCCCAACACCCCCCCACCATCACCCCCCATCGTCTCTCATCCTCTCCTCTGGGCTCCTGCCTTACAGGTCTCTCCAGTTCCCCCATCATCTTACGTTCCACTCAGCAGTGACCCATTAAAATCAGATCAAATCAATGCTGTCACACCTAGAAGGACATCCAAATTTCTTACTCTGGCTTACGAATCCTCTCCAATATGGGCCCTGCCTTCTGCTGGTTTTTCCCTGAGTTCCTCAATGGGCCATGTTCTTTCCTTTTTCTCCAACCTCCTGTGGAATGTGTGTCCCCCATCTCCAAGGGCTGGTCCTTGTCATTCGTGTCTTGGCTGAGCCCACTCTCCTTGCAGGGAGCGCCTCTTCTCTACAGGCGCAATCTCAAGGAGCAGACTGACCACAGTGCCTCAGCCACACAGCACCTGGGTTACAACCATCCATCCCGGCTTCTCTGACCTTTCTCTTAATTTTTTTTTTTTTTTTTTTTTGATTACATGTCTCTCCCTCCTAGAATGTAAGCTCCGTAGAAGTGGGATTTTGCCTTGTGTATCTGTCACCTCAGCCTAGCACATACCATGTGTTGACTTAACGCTGTATAATCAATTTTCAAAACCAACCTGGAAAATTCATCATTTCTCATTGTCCAAATGAGTTAAATGAGGCTTAGGTTATGACACTTACCCAACAAGGGGCAGGACTGAATTCCAGCCGGCGCGTCCAGCATCCCTCCGCCACACTGGGGTCATGGAAGGGGGCCGTGCGGTAGTTGGTCCTGCGTTGACGTGGAAGGGTACACATTCTGAGTGCAGCTTTGATCAAGGTTATACATTTCTGAAGCATTTGGGCCATTCCTTACAATTCCTCATATTCTCAAGGCTTCATCAATGGCCCCTGTGCACACAGAAGTCATAGTAAACGTGGGCTCACTTATTCGAAGGGCCAAACCCTGCATGGCCTGGTGCTATACACACAAGCGGGAAGTCAAACTGGTTAAACCAAGTAACTCCACTTTCTCATTTCAAAAGTGCTTCCTGTTTTGTCCCCTTTACTTCTCATTCTTTTGTCAAGGCCCTCTCAAAGAAGCCCAGCAAAAACCCCACCTTCGTCTCAGCATGACTCCGAAGTATTTTCCTGGCCCACCCTGTCTGCTGGAAGAAGTCACCAGCCTGTGGTTTCAAGGATCCCCATCTCTTCCAAAGAGCACCTGGGAATTTCGTCGGTCTGACCCTCATCCATGATATACTTTGGGAAAACACTGGGCGTGGCCTGACCCAACAGCCCATTCTTTCTCGTTCCGGAATGTTAGGAGGACTCAGAAGGTACCCTACTTTTGGAGTCATATGAACTAGGACCACCACATAGTTCTCCTTAATAGTCAAGTCAACCACCAACCCTCTGCTGTTGAGTAAGTTAGAGACAGGAAAAAAATTAATGGAAAAGTAAAAGGTTTATGACTGAATTTAAGTGGCTATACTCTCTGGGGAGATGGGGACATTATTTTTCTACTTGGCAAGGAAACAGGACTTAGTCCAGGCCAGAGTCACTTGAAGGGTGGCATTCCCACTCTTTTGGGGCACATCTTTTTGTGGGTAATAACGTATACAGTTTGTTGGCGGTCATGCATATGATTTTAGCCACCCAGGTCTGAACTTGATACTCCCTGTACACTTGAAGGGCTTATGAGTTCTTCAAGGGCAGAGTGTGCCAGTCAACTTTGTAACCAACAGTGCACCTGGCACATAGAAACCATGGTACGATTACTACTACTCCCACCACTACTACTAGTTAACGTTTACTGAGCACTGACTACACAACAGCCACTGTGTTAAGACCCTCATGTCCATTATCCCATTATTTCCTCATACAACCCTAGTAAGTTACCCCATTTTACAGATGAGAAAACTGAGGTCTAGAGGTTAATAACTACCTAAGGTCATATAGGAAGGAAGTGTCAGAGATGGTGCTCAATATACAACTCATGAGTGAGTGATCAGGGGTCAGCCTGGCGCCTTCACTGCCTTTCTGAACATAGCAGGCATTTCTTGCCTTTGGGCTGCTACTGAAAATATGTTCCAGACCTGAGCACCCCCTAATGGCAAGTGTATACAGGTGCACGCAGCTCTTGGTGGGGAGACACATTAAACCCATCTCTTAGATTATAAAAAGCTTGCCTCTTAGATTACAAACAGTTCAAAGAACCAGAATGACATAAAAACATGAGTACTTGTACACACACATACACACTCTATGAAAATTAGAGCGACTTCCAAGGAAACAAACATTTGAATAATAATCAACAATTTTCAAAGGTATTCCTCCGGAAAGCATATCTATTGAGATAACAGGTAGCTGAATGTCCTTTGGATTTCCAAGGGTAAAGTAAAAAAATTTTTTTTTCAATAAATGAGAATGTAAAAAATGTGATTTTACTATAGGATGCTAGGTATTTTAAAATTTGTTTTAAATGGGTCCCACCTCCATTTTATTTTCATTCAAAACAAGTCTAAGGACAAGCATCAGATGGAGAGCTAGACAGCTACACCTCAGTGCAGCCACACAAAGTGAAAAGGATGCTTTAACGAGAGGTTGTGTAGATAAAACACTTGGGGTTCTTTAAAAACCAAACTAGAGAAATAAACTGAGATGTGTGGGAAACCTCACATTTAAAATCGGAGAGAACCCCAATTTTGGAAAACTGAGTATAGGAACTGCCCCCTGCCCAGATACTTGGTGAGGCCCTTGCAATGGGCCCGCCCCTTGACCGCAGCTCACTGGCCCAAGGTCAGATGCCTGCGCCAGCCGGGGGCCACAGTACCGTGTATGCAGATGTGGCTGCAGACCATCAGGTCGTCTCTGTAGCTACAGCTACAAGACTTGGGAGATGTCAGCAGCCAAGCTTACGGTCAATGCTGTGAACTGAATCTTGTCCCCCAACCCCAAACCCCAGTGTGACTTTACTTGGAGGGGGCCTCTAAAGGAAGTAACTACGGTGAAATGAGGTCATAGGGTGGCGCCCTAATGTGACAGGAGTGGTGTCCTTACAGGAGGAAGACGCGGAGGACGCAGAGGGACAAGGAGTGAGGCCACTGTGAGGAGGCCGCCGCCAGCGGCAAGCTAGGGAGAGAGGCCTCCCCAGAACCTGACTGTGCTGGCACCTTGACCCTGGGCTTCCCCCACTCCCACAACTGTGAGAAGTAAATGCTGTTTAAGCTGCCCAGTCTGTGGTACTCTGATGGCAGCCTGAGGAGACTTAAGACGGTGAGGAAGAACAAAGTGGAGGAGCAGAAAGCACACATGTGAATTTGGACTGCACTCAGTTACTTCTAAAGCCCAATATACTCTCGTGTTGGTTTCAAACGTTAGGATCCTTACAGTCTCCCGTGGGTTTAAGCAAATTCAAATTGGTTATCTTTCCTTTGTGACTACATAGCATATTGGGCTTCTGGATAGCTGGGAGGTCATCCATAAATGTGAAAAACCTTAAAACCATTTTAGAAGGAAAAATAAATGTTTCACCTCTGCCTTTTAGAAGAGATTTTTTTTTTTAAACAAGTAAGTTTTCCATTATGAGTGTTATGAAGGTATATACACTACAGTGGGAGTTATTAGGAAATCTGAGGTCTACCTCCCTTTGCTATTGGCCTCACCACTCTGGGCCCATTTCCTTCCTATAAAGAAGTTATTTCTGATTACAAAAATTCTGATACCACCAACGACTGACCTCACCACATTAAGTGGTGTGAATTCACCACACTTTCCAGGACGATTCACCATCTGTAGACTGTTTCTTCCAGTACTGACATCCCACACACTCCGGGACTACCACCAGCCCAGGCGCCCGGCTCTGCACCACACTCTCTTATGTTTTGTGTGTGTCTTGCTCACATGGTTGTTAGTTTTCTGGTCTTGCTCCTTCTCAACTCTTCCTGTTACTGCGTGCTACCATTGTCCTTCCTTCTTCTGTCTGGCCGCGAGGTTTACATGGGCATGTTGGTGATGACTCTGGACAGTGAGAGCATGCGAGCTATGGGCGACTCCCACAGTGAAGTGCAGGGACTCACCTGAGGAGGGACCTTTAGGCTGCCCAGAGGCCTTTTTGGCTCATTAGTTCCCAAAAGGAATCGAAGGCTCAAAGTCTGGTATTGGATTTGTTAACATCTGCTTACCTTTAATGGACCGTAAGAGGGAAAAAGAGGCCCCAAAGAATGACAAAGTTATGAGAATCGGACTGTTTCCCAAAAGTCAGGAGGCTCTCCCCCTTATTTATTTTTAATAGAAGCAAGCTTGCTGGTGGTTAACACATAACCTATCTTACATAGCACTAATCTTTTCGTCACCAGTAATCTATCTTTGTTCCAGTAATCTAGCTGAATAAAGTAACAATGTTGCACACCATCTTACTTGGTCCACTTTCTTTATGGTTCCCAAAACACGGGACACCTGCTACTGACCTTATTCTTTCTAGATGAAAAACTGAAGGTGAATTATTATCACAGCTGATTTTCAGATATTCTCTGCCTTGTGCATGATATACAGTAGAATGATCCCTGGCTCCCTCTAACAATTTAAAACTTAGAAAGAACGTAAAAATAATAACAACCGTAAACCATTCTCCCCAACGCAGAATCACAAGTAATGGCATAGCGTAACAATGATAAAGATGGCAATGAGGGTGGGAAAATGGGGTTAACAGAATTAAGTGGAGTTTGGAAACTTCCTTTTTTAATTAAAAGTTTACTTCTTTTCAAATTCTAAAGGCTCTCAGATGAATTTTAGAAATTTTAGCAATAGCGATCACAATCATTTCTTCTGGATTGTGTAAGGCCACCCTGAAATGAACACCTGGAAAGAAACTGGAAACAGTGGTTCTTGTGATTCCTTTCTGAGCTGCATAAGGGCTTTTGTTAATCCTGCTGCACACACATGGGTAAAACCATAAACACGGCCTCACGCCATGTCAACCTTTTCCATCCTAACCAGCTTTAAGCCGATTCTAAAAATGCTTATTCTCCTGGACTCCGTGGGCTACCCTGGAGTAGACCCCCAGGTGAGCTGACCCAGGCACTCAGGGAAACCAGGCAAAGCCAGAACGCCGCAGGGAGAGCAGCACTACCGCTGACATGCCCGAGAAACTGTCTCTGAGGCTGCTTCAGAAAGGCCAAGGATGACCTCTGAAGACACAGGTCTACACATTTAATAAATTTCTAAAACCCAAACCAAATAAAACACAACCATGCCCAATCTAAATTACAACACTTTATTGCAGCATTGGCAAAGGTCAGATTTCTGAAGCTGGTGAAGATCGGGCAGCATTTCCATGTGAAATGTTACAACTTTACAAGTTTTGTTCTTATTTAATTCTACATGCAGAAACTGAAACATGGTAAAAGAAAAAATGCAAAATAGCTAGGAAAAAAAGATGTAATCAAGTTGTAGCATACAGATGTGCTCTTTAACTAAACTTGCTATGCCTATCGGAAAGCAAACGAAAGACAACTATCCTAATAAATTAACAGACTGCCAGAAACAGACTAAGAACCCTCATTTCTATTTGGGGGGGGAACAAAACAAAACAAAACAAAAACAAACGCAAAATAAAAGCTCTACTGTTTCCATACTTTGTTTAGAGACAGAGGCTGTAAACCCATGAAGGTCAACAAAATCTTCTGACCCCGTTCTTGCTGTCCTTCGTCCATTTGCGGTGACATGCTGACTGGCACGCTGTTTGTTTTCAATGATACTTACAATGGGCTCAACTCTCCCTGTTCTTGGGCTGGTGTCAGACTCCCCTAAGCCATGTGAACGCATTCTCTTTGTATAGTAGAAGTCTTCACATTTCTCTTTTACCCTAACAGGCAATTTTGTATTACTGACTCTGATGGATAAAATGGATTTTTTTTTTCTCCCTCATCCCTTGTTCCTCTTGAAACAAATTCCTAAACAAAAGCCTTCCTGGTGGATTATCTGCTATTTGGTTATCTTTCATCATTTTGTTGTCCTGCATGTAA